AGGTGTGATCACTAGACCGTGTGTCAGATTATGTGGTTAACCGCAATGCGACCTTACTGTCCAACACTACGACATCCTCTACACTAGTGAGTTGTGATCACTAGACCGTGTGTCAGATTATGTGGTTGACCGCAATGCGACCCTTCTGTCCAACACTACGACATCCTCTACACTAGTGAGGTGTGATCACTAGACCTTGTGTCAGATTATGTGGTTGACCGCAATGCGACCCTTCTGTCCAACACTACGACATCCTCTACACTAGTGAGGTGTGATCACTAGACCGTGTGTCAGATTATGTGGTTGACCGCAATGCGACCCTTCTGTCCAACACTACGACATCCTCTACACTAGTGAGTTGTGATCACTAGACCGTGTGTCAGATTATGTGGTTGACCGCAATGCGACCCTTCTGTCCAACACTACGACATCCTCTACACTAGTGAGGTGTGATCACTAGACCTTGTGTCAGATTATGTGGTTGACCGCAATGCGACCCTTCTGTCCAACACTACGACATCCTCTACTATAGTGAGGTGTGATCACTAGACCGTGTGTCAGATTATGTGGTTGACCGCAATGCGACCCTTCTGTCCAACACTACGACATCCTCTACACTAGTGAGGTGTGATCACTAGACCGTGTGTCAGATTATGTGGTTGACCGCAATGCGACCCTTCTGTCCAACACTACGACATCCTCTACACTAGTGAGGTGTGATCACTAGACCGTGTGTCAGATTATGTGGTTGACCGCAATGCGACCCTTCTGTCCAACACTACGACATCCTCTACACTAGTGGGGTGTGATCACTAGACCGTGTGTCAGATTATGTGGTTGACCGCAATGCGACCCTTCTGTCCAACACTACGACATCCTCTACACTAGTGAGGTGTGATCACTAGACCCTGTGTCAGATTATGTGGTTGACCGCAATGCGACCCTTCTGTCCAACACTACGACATCCTCTACACTAGTGAGGTGTGATCACTAGACCCTGTGTCAGATTATGTGGTTGACCGCAATGCGACCCTTCTGTCCAACACTACGACATCCTCTACACTAGTGAGGTGTGATCACTAGACCCTGTGTCAGATTATGTGGTTGACCGCAATGCGACCCTTCTGTCCAACACTACGACATCCTCTACACTAGTGAGGTGTGATCACTAGACCGTGTGTCAGATTATGTGGTTGACCGCAATGCGACCCTTCTGTCCAACACTGCACTGATTTCTCACGGGAATTGTGGTTAGGGTAATGTGTCCAAACGTAATGCCGGTTCAATGTGTGGTCTTAAGCTTTAAATACCCGTTAATGTACGTACTTTGATTTATTTGAACTTTTATCACTGTTATTTGCCGATCTGGATTAGGTTTTTAAATTAATGTACAAAATTGTTTTACTTCTGGTCGGGATTGATTTAATTGAATTTGATGGGATTGTATGGATTGTTTTAGATTGTACCCTTTTCAAATATTAATTTTATTTCAACTCCTAATACGTCATTGAGAAATAAGTGTCAATATATTTTTGATATATAAGTGGTTTATTTTTCGTTAAATTCTTTGTTTCAGTATACTTTTCAATGATCATTTCTATTTAAAAGTTCATTTAAAAACTTTTTCTGTTTATAATCATACAATAAATTGATTGTTAAAGCCTACATGGCAAACTACGTTGATCAGAATTATTAAACAAATGCTACGATTACGCATAACGTTTTCAACATTCAATTGAACTCCTCTTACTTCAGAATATGGCGAGTGCCCTCGATCTTTCAAAGGAATATTCCACATACTATTTGTCATTGGTAACATCTAGTATTGAGCGTCTCTCACATTTAACTGCGGAATGAATGATCGCCCGAATGATGAATCATATTCGTAGTGTATTAATCTCTAAGGTTCGCATCTGGCATGACAGGAAGGGTCTCCAGATGACTAATGATTTATATTACACCTGTGAGAGCTCCGTGCATCGGTGACAATACATTAGCGGAGAGATCACAAACGTTGGGGCTGTTAATAAATAGAAAATACTTCAAATATATTAATTTTAGTTTACAATCTTTGTAGTCATCTTTCATTGATGTCAGACAATAGTTTTCGACTTTGGTTCAATCGTACAAGAGCTTCGTCAATTCATTAACACGTAATTTGGGATTTATTAGCTTCCTTCTCAACTTTAATTGATACTCCCAAGCTGACTGGATAGGTGGACAAAATAGAAAACTTTCTTGATCAGTCATCCAAAAGGGGAAAAACCCCGAAGATGAAAAAAGAAAAAAAATTTAAAAAGTCACAATTTAACAAACAATTGTTGGTTTGTCTCTTGTTGTTCGTTCTACTCTAAGAGTGAAGCAACTAAATATGTTTAAAATAAAGTAAAAGATGTTCAAGTTTTAAGGGGTAAATTTTGCCGGACATACTCACAGAGCTGGCCCAGCTTGCCTATCTTAAAGGTCTTGAAGCCTAACCCATTTAAGTTGAGAAAGGCTATAAGGAATCTGGTAACTCTTGAGGTTTTGTCATCATCTTAGCTCTTATTTATAACCTTTTTGAAGGAGAAAGCTATTCAACGTCTACCTAGAAGTTGCAGAAGTCTATAGCTTTTCTTTAAGACACTATATCCGCTGAGGATTTTTTGTTAAGGATTCGTTCAAGGATAAACTTGTTTCCTGATTCCTGAACAGTCATTGGGATTAGACAGAATAGATCTGCCACGTATTGGACGCTACTCAATGGCTTTCATATTGAGTTATAGTCTGTATGGTGGAACCTGTCTCCTGACCGGGTCTACCGGGGACTGGCCAAAGGTTTAAAGACCAGTCCCAGGTAGACGAAGGGTCAAGAGACAGGTTCCACCATACAGACTATAGCAAGATGTGTAATGGAGGTTGAAGTAGGGAATGACAGGCGATATGTCATGCAGCTCTGACTTCAATAGCTCAGCGCCTTGGATTCTGCTTTGTAGGAAAGCTCCCACCTTCAAATGTACAATGTACTGATTGTATTTTTAGAGTACCCTCTATATCATCTTTGGGTTGTACATTTACTCTAATACATTTATTCCATCTTCATTGATTTGCTTAGTTCATTTATATCATGCCAGTTAGTGTTTAGAATATTATTATTTAATTTCTAATCCAAAGCACTTAATCGTCTGATTTCATATTTAAAATTTGTTATTTTCGTCTTGATGCATGTTAAAAAACCACAGTAAACTCTAAAATAAAACTGAAATGCTAAAAGTAAATTTTCAATAGTTTTATTTTATAATTTTTATACAACACTCATTTTTTAGTTCACAGTTTTTTTGGTGTGTTCATGTTAGTGTAAAACATACAAAATCCAACATATAAGAATGTAATAATATATTTTAAAAGAATTTAAATATCCAAAAATTAATAGGTGATAAAAATAATAAGCCACAAAGGCTTAAAATTCAATTTATTCTTAAAAACGACTGATGAAATGGGATTTTACAAAGTCAGCCTGAGTTGGTAATCCTGCTATTGTTTCCCTCTTCAGCACTCGCAGTTAATCAAATATTAAACCAAATACGGCCACCAATACTGTTACTGGGTCTCAATGAAAACATGAAATGTTAGATTCCAATTTAGTTATGAGGCATCGCTGGCAGTCTGTGCTAAATTAACTTTCTTTATACCCTTAAACTAGCAATCAATTGATAGTGTTCGTTTATATAACTTAATCAATGTAAAATAATGCTGTATCTCGTTGACATTTTGTTTACATTGTTGAAGTTGGAGCCAGGTTTATAATGATTGTATATGATGAAATGATCAAATAATTAATAATTATCCGTAGAAGACAAAGCAAACATTCAATATCTTTCACTGTTCATGACTAACCATTATACTAATTTGATTTCTTTGAAAACATTTTCTGACTGAACTTCTCTTACGTGTTTTCCAGGTACCAAAAATTCTGGTCTGATATAAGATATGGAGTTAAGTGTAAGACTGCAGAGGAACAATGTTTTTGACGTGACCTCAAAATGAGTAAGGTACTTCTCAACTACACTATTTCTAAAATTACCGTCGGGTAACAACTAAATTAGCACATCACCTCCTAATGTTAACCTTTTTCAATTGAAGTTTATAAAAAGTTTGTAATACGGTCAAATGTTTATTTTGGCCTCCCCATGAATCCCCAAAAAAGAGGAGATTTTTCACATTTTCAGCCAAGTTATTGTCTACAAAGTGAACTAGCATTTGGCAGATGTCGCTACCTTCATTCCCTTCGCACTTAGAATACATGTAGAATAACTTTTACCATTGCTTAAGATGTGTATGTTAAAGGAATATTGATAACTGCCTTTTGTAAAAGGCGTCATTTTTAGTCACGTCAGGTACACAAAAATTTCGACCGTGGTCTATACAAATTCCCTAAAATAAAACGGTGTTTTCTGTACCTTTCTTTTGATTTCACAGAGCTTGTCAGCCTTACATTTGTGGAGTTTTAGCTGGGTCTCAAGACTTTTCATCTCTTTAGTTAAGTTTAATATGTTATCATCGTATTTAGATTCTTTCAATTTGACCTGAAGACTACCCAGTTTTACATTAGTTGTATCACAAAAACTACACGTATCGGTACGTGGATAGCCAAACAACATATTGAAGTTTAGACCTATAGGTTTCTTATAAGCATTTTACCTCAGGGTATTTTGTCTCATTTTATGCATAAATCTGCCCATCGCTTTAATTCAAACTTGTAAATAAAAATAAGCAAAACCCACTGAAACAGTTACCAAACAAATACAGGAAGCAAGTGGAAATATGGCACACACGATCGATTCGATTGAGTTAACCCGTGAAATAGTGAGTGTGGAAACGGTTCTATTCAAGGTTGAGATCAATCACCCATGGAAATACTGTTTGCAATGATCGCAATGAAGGTGGTGGGGAGTTATAAAAGTCTCCGTCCCTCTGGAGGTAGCAAAAGTTAAGTATGTGGGTGTTTGTGTTTCTGATAGGACTCACGGGGGCGCGGGAGATACACGGGGCTTCGCCCCTGGAGAAGCTAGAGTCTTCGCCCCTGGTGGAGAAACTGTACGTGGAGAGGACGAGGTCGTCGGATTTGGACTCTTCTGCGACTGGTTATATCTACAGGAACGACGGGAGAGGAGCTGGAACCTATGTGAGGCTGGGAGACCAGGCGGCCGGGCAGTACTTGGACAGCCGCAGTAAGTTAAATATTTTTTTTTAAATTTAAGTAACGTATTTTGTTTGGATTTGTAATAGATTGTCTGGGTGTTAAAGGTTGTAGCGCTTGCCTTCGTGTCTGAAGATTGCTGGTTCGAATCCAACCGAGATCTACCACAGATACTTGGTACTTGGTAATAACCATAGATCGGTTATTAATTATGATGCTTTCTATCTACAGGTCAACGATGATAGTAACAAAACCAGCGTTTTGATCGTTCCCTTACAGAAAACTTTAATAAATACCACCGACGTGGCACACAAAAATAAATATTATAATATAGGCACCTGAATATATGGTTTGACCTAGAAATAATTAGAACACAAATGAAACCATTGTAGTTTGATAGTGAAAAGTATTGTGAATAACATATCAAAAGTTTCCAAAAATATCTTTGGTGGAACACCACCATTTTTCCAAAATGGCGGCCAAATCCAGTAGTTTTTTGCTTTTTATTGAAATTCTGACTTTCCAGTCAATATTGGTGAAAAGTCGTAAATACATTTTATTTTCCTCCTGAAATTATCTTTAAAATGATACCAAATACATGTACGTACAACCAAAAATAAGCCCCGCAGAAATAATAAAATATTTCAAATAAAGGTTTTTCAATAAATTAATGTAATAATAGTCCAAGCAAACTAATAAAACAGACACAGGTATCGTATAAAAATTTGCAAGTAAACGTTTTATGGTTTTATTTTTATTTTTGTGGTGCGCAGAGTGAAATTTCAAAAGTTGCAAAAAATCAGTCCACGGGAAACCCCTAAATTAATTATATAAAATGGCGGCTTTTCCCAATAGGTATTGGAGAAATTTTGCAAAAAGAGATACCGAATGCTTTTTTGCACAGTTTTCAAGAAATTGACTTGGGACCACCGCCAATATTTATTGAATGGTCCGTAATTAATTTCGATATGGGATGCTTTTAGGGCATCATCATTTTAGGGCATTATCTTGGATCATCCATATTGGATATCAATATTATTTAATGTAATTATAGTGTTGTGACACATCATTATGAACTAGATTTCCACGCTGATTTCAATTCTGAAATCTGTTTTTAAATAGCTATTTTTTATTTTAAGAGATATACAAACACATTCTCCCCCATACATTGCTTATGGACGTTTCGTACTTTGACAATTTAAACACACATTGAAAACTACCACAGCCTAATGGTGTACACCATCAGGTTCAAGTATGGCTTGGAAATAGTTCACCAGCAGAATCAACAGATTGGGGTTGGTGTTTGACTGATGGTGCATATGCCCTTTATACCAGCACTACCTTCTCTATTAAAGCTCATCCACTGAAAACGTCATTCTGGTTGTAACAGTAAGTGTAAATGCCAAAAGAGGGATGATGAAAAAAAATGGTATATGTGAGTACTTTGATACCAGAACGAACTTGTTGACGTATTAACAACCCGAGATATAAATCTTTTAACAAAAACTGATTTAAATAAAGGGTAATTTAATATTGTGTTGGGGTTTTTACCTCGTCTCCAAATAGTCTGTTTTAACTATAAATAGCTAAAATGAAAGCTCTTACATCACTGATTATTTTAAGGCTATAACGAACTGCAAGCATCAATTAGACCTGGAGAAAAATACTCTTAGATCACTGAATATTTTAAGGCTAGAACGAACTGCAAGCATTAATAAGACCTGGATAAAAATAATCTAAACCCATTTTCAAAGTACGATACGTCCATTAGTAATGTACAGGGGAGAGTTTTTGTTAAGAAACGAGTTAAATATCTTAAGAAACGAAAAAACTTATTTAAAAACGGATTTAAGCATTGAAATCAGCGTAGAAATCTAGTTCATAATGATGTGTCACAATACTATAATTACATAAAAAAATATTATATCCAATATGGCGGATCCAAGATGGTGGCCAAAAACGCGTTCACTATCGAAATGAAGTACTGACTACCCAATAAATATTGGTGGTGGTCCTAACTTAATATCTCGAAACAATTTGCAAAAAAGCATGTTGCATCTTTTTCAAAATATGGCCAATGTTGGGAAAAGCCGCCATCTTTTATAATTATTTTACGGGTTTCCCGAGGACTGGTTTTTGGCAACTTTTAGTATGTCACTCTGCACACCCAACAATAAAAATAAAACCATAACACATTAACTTGAAATTTTTACACGAACCCTATGTCAGAAATTTTAGTTTGCTTGGACTATTACGTTAATTTATAAAAAAAATATTATTATTTTAAATATTTTATTATTTCTACAGGGTTTATTTTTGGTTGTAGGTACATGTATTTGGTATTATTTTAAAGGTAATTTCAGGAGGAAAATAAAATGTATTTACGACTTTTCACCAATATTGACTGGATAGTCAGAATTTCAATAAAAAGCAAAAAACTGCCGGATTTGGCCGCCATTTTGGAAAAAAGGTGGTGTTCCACCAAAGATATTTTTGGAGACTTTTGATATATTATTCACAATACCTTTCACTATCGAATAACAATAGTTTCATCTGTGTTCTAATTATTTCTAGGTTTTGCTATTTTTTTCTTATTTTAAGGCGCCTAATAGCCTCGTTAAGTAATTAAATAAATTTTTTCAAATATTCATCCTATCTTTTGCAGTGGTATTAAGTGTAATAGGATTTAGTTAATCAGATTGAATGAATTAAAATTCATTAATACGAATTACAATTTATTTAGATTATAGAGTTAATCTAACTTAATATAATACTGAAAACTGTTCATTTTAAAACTTACACAAATCTTACTCTAAAGAAGCTCTGAGGATGGATTTTAATACTCCACTATCTCCAATATCACGTTTTTTTAATGAGCCATTACCAAAGCATATCATATTTTCAATATCATATCGATTCAGAAGAAATTAAATACTTTTATTGACTACATATCTCCTTAGATTGGTTGATAAAATAAACATTTCAACTCGTCTTACAATAAAAATACGAAATGTTTGATTTCAATTCGAGGTTGAGACATTGCTAGAATTCTGTGTTAAGTAAATTTTATTTATTCTTTATTTAATTTCTGAATATAAAGTTTTTTGAATTTTTTATATTTTTTGTTTAGGAAAACCCACATAAGTTAAGATTTGGGTGAAAAAAACAGGCTTTCCAAGTATATTATAAATGAGTTTCTAAAAGCAAATACCCATGAAAGACCACCTTAAGTTCTATCCGTAACAATTGAATTTGATTCTACATAATTAAATAAGAAAATATAATAAACATTAGTATTCAGTTAAGTTGTTACTTATAAAAAACATGACAACAAAACACTATTTCTCATAACACATAAAGGAGGCTAAATTCAGTTTTTACGTGGTAACATGCTTTTTTAATACCGTTTTCATAATATTTATTTCCTTTTCTGGTAACCAAAAATAAAATACCGATCGTAAATGTATTTCAATTTTTTACACTTTGCTACACCAGATATTGTAGAACAAATACAAACACTAAATAGGATATTACTGAAATTTGCTAAACTTTAACGCACCTTACCAATGTTGTTGATATATACAACATAATACTATTAGAATATTATATTAGAAAAACTATAATAATTAATCAAGATAAATATTCTACAGCTAAACTCTAAAAATATCAAATATATAGGCCAAGTTAAAAAAATAAAATGGAAACAAAACGAATAAATGAACAATGAGTTAAAAACAATGAATCCACTTGACATTTTGAAAAATAAATAAAATGAAATAGTATTCTCAAAGCACTATATCCAGCTCCTTTACATGATCAGTAGTGTATAGATGCCTTAGTGTAAAGCCATCTGAATTTTATAACAAACTAGCTGTACCCGCGGGCTTTGCCCCGTTTAACTTCATACGTGAGCTCGTTCGCATGGCTCAATCACGTCCTGGTTGAAGTTCGTTCGCTACGCTCACTCACCTTTAGGTTGGAGCTCGCTCGCTGCGCTCACACGTCCTGGTTGAAGTTCGTTCGCTATACGCTCACTCATCTTTAGGTTGGAGCTCGTTCGCTACGCTCACTCACCTTTAGGTTGGAGCTCGTTCGCTGCGCTCACTTGCCTTCAGGTTAGCTCGTTTGCTACGCTAACTCGCCTCCAGGTTGAAGTTCGTTCGCTACGCTCACTCACCTTTTGGTTGCAAATTAGCTGTTGTCATGAATTAAAAAAATAATAGTGCTGCACCCTGCTGGTAATCCTTGTAACTAAAATGCTATTGAACATCATAAAATAGAACCAACTTGTTTAATTGAAACAGCTGTTAAGATTCATTTATTCCTTTTAAATATGAAAAATCATACGGTTAACATGGGAAACTCCAGAGCCACTGGGGCGGAGCCCAAGAGTCCGATCAGGATAAAAACAACTTAGTTTTCCTATTTAATGCCTAAAGAATCAGTGTACCAAATTTCAGCCTCCTAGTTAAATGGGAAGTGGGAGAATTAGTGATGAGTGAGTGAGTGAGTGAGTCAGTGAGGGCTTTGCCTTTTATATATATAGATAAATTAAACACAAGTTATGTATTGGGATACAGGTTTAAGTCGTATTATTTTGTTAAATTGATATCATCACATGAACGATTTGAATTTAAACTCACAATATTAAGCAATATTATTACATAGTACTCACATTAAACCAAAACCAACATAAAATGCATCTCTTTTAATAGAATATAAATAAACTAATAACAATCAAATAACGACGCAATCAATCTACCACAAAGTAATCATTCGATATCCCAGAATAAACGGCAATATCTCCTAAACAAAAGCAATAAAACAGCCGTATTGTCGCGACCAATCTCGATAAAACTATCTCATAACATCGGATTATCGGATTCAATAACATTTGCTTTGACGGAATTGAGTACTTAAGTGACAAAAGGTATGAGATTTTAAGGTATCTCGCAACAAAGACCATGTAATCCGTTATAAAATCGCTTCTCCACAACAATAGTTGTCTATTGTGAAGCCGCTGATGATTTCCTGATTACGTCTTTTCGTGTTTTGGTAATCGCGGTGATGGATTTTATTTTGTATGTATTTCGTAAGCTTTGTTATATGTATTGTTATTGTTCTGTGGAAATTGAAAGTGTGTGGTCATGTGGGGTGGATTGAGTTGGTAAATTTGGTTAAGGTTTGGAATTCGAATACTTTATTGCTTATGTACAGTATTTTGTTTTTGGACCTTGACTTTTGTTAAGTATTATCAATTTTAAAAAACCTTTTGGTTTTAATCAAGTATATTCATGTTTGAGTTCGTCTCGACTTATTTTTATGTCAGGTGTGTCATAATTATTATCTAGTATGCAAATTAGTTTTACTCATATCAATTTATTTGTTGTACGTGATTACCAAATCTATACACTGTTGTGGTTTCGTAAGTTCTTGACCGTGACCGTGGTCGGATGACTTTCCTCTTCCAAATTCTATTTCACGGTTCCTTCCCACCAGGGACAATTCGTCCGTGGTTTTTGGGTTACACAACGACTCGTCGCCCAATTAGTTACGAAATCTGAAACAATAAAAAAATAGTCCAAACAATAATATCAAATCTAGTCAAATCTTGATGTGTGAGCTGCATTAAAATTACTCAAATCTTGGATCACATTCACTTCCAACTTAAACATGTTAAGTACATACAGATAGAATAACCTAGCTTAAAATAATTATCTTGAAAAGACATATTTAAATTAAAAAATGTATTTATTTCCGAGCGTCTCCCAGCACAAAATCTACTTTAAGGAGTGGCTCAGATTTCTTGCCATTTCACAATACACGTATCCTCGTTGACTTAATACTTTCCATTTTTTTTATTTCTTCTAGGTGTCTAATGTCAGGTTTTGTGGTCACATCAATGTGAGCTGCGTTTATATAATACCTGCCTTTTCAATCAGGATAGCTAGAATGAAAGGCTATGGTTTTGCCACTCATGTGTTCAGAACGTATTTTCTTTTTTGTACCCTGAAGAAGTTCAAGCAAAAATATGATCCAATGACGTATCTTAGTCGCCCTTCAGTGGTCGTAGACAATAATGGTATTTTAAATTTCATTTTAATGGTAAATTTCATATCGAAATAACCAAAGAGTCGAGCTAACTAAAACATTATACGTTTAGAGAACAAAATACAACCAAACCCTTGTGTTTTACACACAGTACTTGTCTTACATTATTGTCTTTGCTTACTTTAAAAACATTCCTATGCTCCAGACTTGGGAGCTGTGCCTCAAGAGAGATTATCACACCCTGGGGTGCCCTCGCCTATGGACTACGCCCTGCAGAGGTCGTCCTACAGGGGTCCTGTCCACTATCAGACGGTGGTCCATCATGGAAACGCTCCTGTAGTGCTGGCGTGAGTAAAATATTTTTGAGACAAGCACTAGCTGAACTTGTCGTATAAGATTTTTAAATGGAAAATTTTATGAATACTCTATAAACAGTTTCGTTTACCTGCAGAGACATAAACATAGTTTAACCAAAGGGTTGTAACGTTGAAATGTTCTGAGTGCTGTGAACGATTTGAGGTCTTGTCGGTTCACGGTTTAAGTCACATTTATAGCTCTTAAAACAGCTTGATTCTTTTAAAGCTAGGTAATTGCAATTTTTCCACAATGAGGAATTAGGGGATTTTCTCTGATGTTTTGTTCCTTATAGTTATTTCCTTTCCGACGTAAGAAAGGCACCACAGTGACGAAGTGGGGTTTGTTTTCTAAGGGTTGGTTCCTTAAAGTAACTTCCTCTCAGAGATAAGAAAAGTACCAAAGTGACGAAGTTGGTCTTGTTTTCTAAGGTTTGGGTCCTTAAGGTAATTTTCTTTCTGTTGTTAGAAAAGTACCACAGTGACGAAGTTGGTCTTGTTTTCTAAGGTTTGGGTCCTTAAGGTAATTTTCTTTCTGTTGTTAGAAAAGTACCACAGTGACGAAGTTGGTCTTGTTTTCTAAGGTTTGGGTCCTTAAGGTAATTTTCTTTCTGTTGTTAGAAAAGTACCACAGTGACGAAGTGGGTTTTGTTTTCTAATGTTTGGGTCCTTAAGGTAATTTTCTTTCTGTTGTTAGAAAAGTACCATAGTTACGATGTTGGTCTTGTTTTCTAAGGTTTGGGTCCTTAAGGTAATTTTCTTTCTGTTGTTAGAAAAGTACCACAGTGACGAAGTGGGTTTTGATTTCTAAGGTTTGGGTCCTTAAGGTAATTTTCTTTCTGTTGTTAGAAAAGTACCATAGTTACGAAGGATGTTTCGTATTCTAAGGTGGTTTGGTTCCTTAAGGTTATTTCCTTTCAGACGTATAAAGAAAAGTACCACAGTTACGTAGTGGGTTTTGTTTTTTAAGGGTTGGGTCCCTAAGGTTCTTCCCTTTCTGATGTTAGAAAAGTATTCACAGTTACGAATTAGTTTTGTTTTCTGAGGTTTGGGTCCTTAAGGTCATTTTTTTCAGAAGTAAAAAATGTGTCCACCGTTACGAGTAGGGGGTTGTTCTTTGAAATTCGGGTCCATAGGGTAGTTTCCTTTCAGAAGTGCTTTCCGACGTTAACAAAAGTATCCACGGTTACGAATTGGGACACAATTTCTTTAGAATCCTGTCCTGTGAATAGGCGTATTTACGTTAATTTAAGTAGATTAGGTAGTTAAAATGTCTTCTTAAGGATGGGCCTAAAGAGGTCAATTGCTTTCAGAAGTAAAAAAATGCGTCCACCATTTCAAACTGAGGATTTTTCTTCAAGGTTTGGTTCTTTGACATTTCCTCATACTTTTTAATATATATATGTCTTATTTACTTTTCAGAAGTAGCCACAGGTTAAAAGGATTTAGAGCTATAATATTAATGTTGAACGTATTTCCATTCCCAAAACATGTCATTCTGTTTAAACCAATAAGATGTAAAATGCTGCTTTCTGACGTTAACAAAAGTATCCACGGTTACGAATTGGGACACAATTCCTTTAGAATCCTGTCCTGTGAATAGGCGCATTTACGTTAATTTAAGTAGATTAGGTAGTTAAAATGTCTTCTTAAGGATGGGCCTAAAGAGGTCAATTGCTTTCAGAAGTAAAAAAATGCGTCCACCATTTCAAACTGAGGATTTTTCTTCAAGGTTTGGTTCTTTGACATTTCCTCATACTTTTTAATATATATATGTCTTATTTACTTTTCAGAAGTAGCCACAGGTTAAAAGGATTTAGAGCTATAATATTAATGTTGAACGTATTTCCATTCCCAAAACATGTCATTCTGTTTAAACCAATAAGATGTAAAATGCTGCTTTCTGACGTTAACAAAAGTATCCACGGTTACGAATTGGGACACAATTCCTTTAGAATCCTGTCCTGTGAATAGGCGCATTTACGTTAATTTAAGTAGATTAGGTAGTTAAAATGTCTTCTTAAGGATGGGCCTAAAGAGGTCAACTGCTTTCAGAAGTAATAAAATGCGTCCACCATTTCAAACTGAGGATTTTTCTTCAAGGTTTGGTTCTTTGACATTTCCTCATACTTTTTAATATATATATGTCTTATTTACTTTTCAGAAGTAGCCACAGGTTAAAAGGATTTAGAGCTATAATATTAATGTTGAACGTATTTCTATTCCCAAAACATGTCATTCTGTTTAAACCAATAAGATGTAAAAGGCATTTTAAGACACTGTAAGTTTGCCAGTGGTGATGAGGAAATAGGAAAAATGATCACAAGATTTTTGTAAGCTAGTTAAAGATTCTTTTTACTTGCAGTTATGCCAGTGATGAGCAAGGAGGGCCATACAACGCAGTGAAAGACCATGATGTACAAAGTCGAGACTACGGCCAAGGCCAATACGGTGGTGGACAGAACTACGACCACGTTGGTGGGCATGGTCAAGTTTATGACCAAGGCTTGGCTGGTCATGGTCAAGCTTTTGACCATGGTGCAGGTGGTCACGATGAAGGCTACAACGGTTTGGTCGTTTATGATCAAGGCTACGACCACGGTGGTGCTGGTCATGATCAAGGCTACAACCACGGTGTTGCTGGTCATGATCAAGGCTACGACCACGGTGCTGGTCATGATCAAGGCTACGACCACGGTGGTGGTGGTCATGGCCAGGACTACCACCACGCTCATGGTCACGGACATGGCCACAAGTACAGCAAAGGTGGTGGATCATCTCATCAATCTGGCCACCACAGCAGTCATGGCCACAAGGGAGATAAGGGGTAAGCCTTATAAATTATATTTTAAATTTATGTTTTATGAGGCCACTTTTCATAATGTTGGGATAATCCTACATTGTCCAATGTAATGTTTTTGGAAAAAATATGGCAATGTTTGTATGGTTTCAATGTTCAACTCGATATTTTCCATATCCTATTTATTGAAAGTTTTTTTTTTTTTTATCAGAAATATTATGATTTCCTAATTCCTAGTTTCCTGCTACGTAAACAATTTTAATTTGTAGTCATACATTGAACTCAGTTTGGTAAGGGTTCTTACTTTTTAATATTTCCCATAAGTTAATTTGTGGACGCATATGGGTATGTAGAAATCTTCAAGAAACTTTAGAAAAGAAAATATTCCAAACACTTAGCTACATCGATAAATGTATGTATTTTGTTAATTGTATGATTAAATTCCTCTCGAATATGTTTTTAATTTCCCTTATTTCAGAAACTGATCTTGTACGTAAAATATAAATAGTAACCCAAAATGGCCTCTTATAAATTAACTAAAGTAACTTTTAAGGTTCCTTTCCACCTACAGTATTTTCCTCTCTGATCCGGAATCCAATGCTCATAAAACTTTCATACGAATAGGTACAAAAGCCACCACGACTTCTCAAAGGGCCAACACGGACACCATGGCAAGGAAGGGTCCAAGGGTCATTACAGTGAGGCCGAAGGTCATAAGGGTTCACATCACGACCAAGGGGGAAAATATGGTGCAAGCCACGCCGCCGAGAAGGGGGAGAAGGGGGGTAAATATGGCCACGAGGACCATCACAAGAAGGGACACAAGACCAAGGGCTACCACAACGTATACCATAAGGTTAGTAAAGAATTGTTGGTCCAAGTGTCACCTTCTACAAAAAACCGCTAAGTTTATCAGACGTAACAACGCGTTTCTGGTGGATTGTCGACGATCTTGATTGACGATTGTTGACGATTTTGATGTGTGCTATGGTCCAGTTGCGTATCTAGGGGGGGGGGGGGTTAAGAGTGATACCCCCCTGACCTTAAAACACGATTAATATGACTCTAAATAGCCTTAAAACGCGAGTTTACAGGTATAGTTTTCAAACATTTTTCGGGGGAGAGAACGCCTCCCCCCAGACACCGCGGCGAAACCCCCCACTTAGGGTCATCCTAGTTATGCCTATGCCATGGTCCGTCGCAAAACGTCCTACAAGATGGTCTAAATGTTACTCGCCACAAAAAGTACTTTTGAGTTTAGTCAAATTAACATTGTGTCAGTGGAGGATTGTTAATGGTTTCAATCTTCTAACTGTGATATGTGGTACCACGATGGCCCCTGTACCACAAGGTAGTTCAAAGTGCATTGTAAATAGTCTTTAAGTGTTAACCACAAATAGAGTCTTGAGGTTAGGTGAATTAACCTGTGGTTATTCAATTGTCTTGGTGTCGCAATTGAGAAGTGTCATCCCACCATGATTGGACTGCTATATTTCGTACTACAAGGTGAATAAACCAAGAGTATTAATTGCCTACATATTATTTTTTACAAAAACTTTTACTGTATTGCAACTGTGATGCAAGTCCAAGTAAAATACTCCTCTGTAAATTATCTTTGGCATCCCACCAACTACTTTAATATGTATCAAAAGTTGAGTGGCTGTAACGGATTTTCTATGGATTAAGTGTAAGTAACTATTAAATGTAAATACACCAAAAAAGGTAAATGTAAAAGTAACCTATGGTAACTGTGGTGGATTGTTGATGGTCTTGGTTCCACAATTGTTAAAGTGTGGTTCACCACAAGACTAAAGGCTACCACAATGTCTACCACAACTTGCGCCTGAGGTCAAATGCTGATGATGTTAGTCTTGCACCCACGATGTGAGATGCACCTCAAGAACATTTACAATATTATGTACCATTTTCGTTTCTTGGGAATTCCTTATGGTTTTGTTTTTTTTAAACTTCATTAAAGTGGTCAGCTTGGTAAACCATTAACAGGTACATACTTAGTTTCTACTAGACACATAAAGCTATATCGGTTTAGGCTTATTTTAAAAGAATGTAATGACGAACTTTTATCCATCCAATTAATTTTTTAAATAAAAAGTGTTTAAAAGCCTATGACATATACGAAAGCGGAAATAATGCCAGAAGAAGCAGGTCAGTCAGTTCAATCCATAACTGTCTTGATAAAACTCTAATATTTGCGTGTTTAGGATTCGCTGCATGTCAAAGTTTGTTTTTATTTGACGTCCTGTCTAACTTTTATGAACTGTCACCGATGCCAGTCAGCGTGACTTTCATCTCATTGGTTATTGGGTTTGCCTTCCATTTAAGGTTTGTATGAATGTGAAATTCGCGTGAAGGACATCACGTGGGCGAAAAGTTTATTTTCAAGATTGCTTTAAGCCCTAATGATGAAATGTACTACATTCACAATACTTAGGTAGTTTGAGGGGTAGTTCCCCCACCAATTTGTATTTAATGTATGTTGCTTAATCAGTTGAGCTATTATTTCAATGGCAAGGGTAAAGTGGAGGGGAGAGATTTCTTCCCCTAAAATCGCCTAAATATTGTGAACGAAGTATGCTGTTGTAACATGGTAGGATAAGAAAGTGTCTTCAACCATATTTACATTTGATACATCACGCCTTAAGAACTTAGATTGGCTTCGTATGGTCGTAATTTCAGTAAAAAGTAGATTAACAGTAGATTTGAGTCAGTAACGATGCTATACTAACCGTACAAGAAGTAGCCTAACTGTTTGGTTAGGAATACACAAATTGAATACACCATAATGAAATTATGAGTGGCGGGATAAAATACAAATACAGTCACAACAATCTAACTTTTGTCTCGAATTTATAAGATGAATACAAGAAGTGACGTGAACTCCGTAAGGAATACACTACATTGAGTTGAAGTTATAATGAAATTATGAGTGACAATTTTTGTATTTTCAGGATGAATACAAGAAGGAGCACTCGTTCTACGACGACGCTCACCACGGTGGTCACCAGGAGAAGTACGGGAATCACCACAAGCACCACAACCAGGAACATGGGGATCACCAGAAGGGGGGACACCACGAGTCGGCGTACAAGGTGACTAGATACACGAACAATCAGTGGTGAAACCGATGGTCGCTTGGCTGCCAATTCGTGATGCTTTTTAGATCGACGTTTGATAGTGGTTATAGTGTCCACATAGCGTTCAAAAGGTTTTAAGATCAACCCTGAGAAAATTCAGTAGTGTTTCGATGGTTCGAAACTGGATTTAGCTGTCCTTTATCATTGGGAAAATAAATGAACCTGGTTAACGAAACAGATTAACTGAATCAGAAAAATCTACACAGATAGTTCCACTCTATTCTAATCATCTTTCGCTCATATTTGGGTTACAATTCGCACCTATATGGCATGTTGAGACGATGTTACAGCTATATTCCTTTAAAACACCTTATGCTAGTTGTCGTGGAAAATACACTAAAAAGATTTGGAAATAATTTGAAAATGCAGTACGTATGAGCTGTTAGTAATAAAACTAAAACTATAACTATATGAGGTGATTTTGTGTATATCTGTGTGTTTGCTCCGATTATATGAAAGAACTGACGAAATTGCTGAAATACACAAATTTAGGTCATAAATCTGACAAAATACAGTTCTATTCATGTTCTTAAAAGCCCGGAAGACTGATAATAAATGTACTAAAACATTCGTTGAGAATGTTTTGATAAACTAGGCTATACGATAATTTAATGTTTGCTGTTTCAGTTAAGAGAACTTCATTCGGTTCAAAAATAAACCGGAATTTTATATTTTAACAGCTAAAAACAGCTGGGAAGCTAATAACTATCCTATAGACATGTAGGGCTCAATCCATGTTGATACATTTTAGAATGAAAAAACCTTTAAAATATACTCTAAAACAAAGGGAATTTTAGCCTTTTATTCCAAAGATACCGTCATGAAAAAATAACCAACGATTTTCCAATAGAATGTGATGTTTAATTGTCCTTTTCCAAAATCTTTTACCAGGACATATTTTTTTACAGGAAGGACACAAAGGCAAGAAGGGCCACTACGAGAAAGGCCAATATGAAGACGAGGATGCTGGCCACAAGGCTAAGTCTGGCCATGAGAGTCATTATGGCCATCATTCAGAGCATGGCCAGAAAGGTGGCCATGAAGACCACAAGGCGCATGGGCACTCGGAGAAAAGCCACTGACCAAAAAACTGTTATGTTTCTTAAATTTTATTACGTTTTCAATAAAAGTCTAAAAAAAAATAATTGTCTAATGTATCCCGATCCATTTCTAATCATACCGTTTGTGGTGCTTTGTCATAATTTATGTTCTTATTCGTTGGTATAGTAATCAGTAACGGTATTAAGGACAATATTTTTAGTTTAAGTTTGTTTTATGTTTTTAGTTAACGTTAAATTGATATTTATAAATTCTTTTACGTGTAGTTTTGTTACTATTCACGTTCTAAATTAAACTTCAACAAAAATAATTTGATTTTATCTATAAATACGTTTGAAACAATCATTATAAGTTTTACGGATTTCCTCTGGATATTAACAACTCAATATTTTTTGTCAGAAAATTACCAAAAACAAATTATAAAAAATAGTATTTTAACGTTGAATCCAACTCATACTTTAAGCATATTGGAGACAATTAAAGCAGTACCTTAATACAAAAAAATAAAAAAATAAAACTTAAAAAACGACTCTAAGAAGCTCATAAACAAAATAAAGGAATTCAACTGTCACAATTATGTGTTATCTTTACATTGTATTATTTAACAACGACTCAATCATTAATTAAAACTTTACCATTTAATTGTTTCATATGTTCATCTACTAATGAATTAAGCACTATACAATTGGGAAACTTAAATTCAGAACCTAAACTAATCCTAATGTAACTCAATAAAACACAAATTGGCAATTATTAAGCTTATTAAGTTGTCACAAACGGATTTTACAAAGCTCTCACAACATGATTAATTAGGTTGTCGTAATTGACGTGTTGAAATATATTAATTGACAAAATGTAAAACTGTAAACCGCTTAGCTGAATCAATAATTAATTTTTTCCTCTTGAAAATAATAGTTGATTTGTCGTCCTACAAGACTAAAGGGGGTGTTTTAGTTTTTTAGGAAACATTGAATATCATTTCGCAGGTTATTTATTAATTATTCATTTATTTTATTCTTTTTAGTTTATTTATATAATATTTATTTTGCAATCAATATTCATCTTCTAAAAGTATCTGGGGTAGAGAAAAAATTATTTTTTCATCCTGCAGAAACAGCTTAAGGATTTCTATGATTCAAAGAAACTTGACCAGAAATGATTCATGTTCTAAAAGTATCTGGGGTAGAGAAACAACTCTTTTTTCATCCTGCAAAAACAGCTTAAGGATTTTCTATGATTCAAAGAAACTTGACCAGAAAGCAAGTTATTACATCGAGGTCTCTGGTAAAATATTTACAAGTTCAAATCTCTTTAGCCGACTTAAGTCCCTTTTCTATTGTGGTGGATGGGATTTATTGGAAATAGAAAACCATAAGGTTTTTGATGTAGGGTTGGTGGCCAATTTGTACATTCTGTTGGTAAGAAAGTAAATTAAATGTTCATCGTTAGGAAATAATGCAAGAGGAGAATAACATGTGTTGAAAAATCAGTTGCCATCATAATTTTCAACACGATTAACAAACATTAAGTCTGATACAGTCGTAATAACTCTCCTATTTTAATCCCGAAATCACTATACAGTTACCCACTTCCTGTGTTTTACAGGGTGAGGTATCAAATTAATTTCAGCTTGAGCAAGATAAAATTTAGTTGAGAACGTGACCATGAATACGAGTTATTAACTTGGTGCAAAGCTCTTGTGTTAAACACTCGACCCAGACAAACACATAGGACTGATGACTAGGGCTGATTTGTGAGCTTAGGCAAGGGCTGGAGATAGCTTTGGGGTGTTATGATGTTATGAATATCATCATATTGACAGTGAAAGGCAAAAGTAATATGACTGAGTGGTTATAGTGCTTGCCTCACATGCAGAAGTTCACTGGTTCGATCTTGAGAAAAAGTCGAGATATTTTAATGGCTTGAAACTGGACCTTGTACTTGATCATTGGTTAAATGGATACAGATTTAACAGTTAATTAAACAGCTGATCTTCATGTTGAATCCGTATTCAGCCTTACGCACCATATGTCCTTCAAAGTATTGATATTGATAAACACATTAGATTGAAAAATATTATACTGATGGGATAAAAAAATTAATAAGAGTAATTATTAATGTTAGTACCAGATTTTACCATTGGCACACGTAAACTCGCTAACTAAACATAACTCAAGAGTATAAAACAAACATTGAATTCAGTTACAAATAAAACAATAAACAATAGACGAACATATTTTAAAATCAGCTGTTTTATTAAATTATCAGAGTACACAAGACACAATAGCCAATCATGCGGTTGATTATGTAATTTATATAGTTTAAAACGTTCTTTAAATACTGTATTTCTTAGTGTTTGACTATGATATGCACGGATAGAATTAAAGACGTGTTCCAAAATAATCAATGGCTTTAACTCACTGTTGATCTTTATAATATAAATAACATATGTCAACAACGGTGTTCGATAGCTATTAAAAGCATTGGTTATAATCAGAATCGATTGGATATTATTTATACGCTTATAGCTAAACTTATCTATACAAATTACAAGGCTCAGTATTTCTGTTTATGAAACCTTTTATACATTCATAAATAATTTAATTGTACAACTTTTTCGGTAGTTGCAGAACAACTACGATGATTTCGTATTCCACAAAAGTTTAATGTTTTAAGTTGTTGTCGAAAACAAAGCTCATTTGGAAAGCCTTGGGTCGGACTGGTCAGTAACAAGCACGTAAACCTCCTTGTCGAACTTCATGAATGCAATCCTCTTTGAAAAATACATAATGGAGTTTTGTTTAATGAATCCCTGCTTATTTTGATGGTTGATATTTTTGCCACGTTTATTTCGATTGTTTATACACGTCTTTAATATGTTATAGCACCAATGTTATAAAATATTACGTTTTAAAATAATTGTTACTAGTTTACATGTTGCTCGAATTCGAGCAATTGCAAAGTATTAAAGGAGTTATTTCAAAACGAATATCATATTCACAATGAGTTTAAAAGAGTCAACTCAAAGATTACCGGTGTGTAACTCAGACCATGTTTATCTTCGTTATTGATAAACCTAAAGCATTCCAGCCGGGTTTCTCCTTCTCAAAATGCACACAGGCAACACAGGTCATTGATAGAGGGCCAATTGAGAACGAAAAGTCGTTTTGGGGTAGTGTTAGGACGCGTTTGTAACCTAAATAGTTGAGATTGTCTAGGGTCAGGTGCTGACTGGGATGAGTTAAGCCTACTACGCGCCACTGTTCTGTAGCTGCGGTCGTTATCACGATTACGCCTCCTGTCTATGTTTCGTTGTCGTCGCGTTGGAGGCATTTAAAAGAAAAAACAACAAATAAACTAATTATAGCTACACAAAACAACGATAAACGCACAAATTTAAGTTACAATCATGCTAACACGATCCTTCATAGTGACACAAAACAACGATAAATACATAAATTTAAGATACAACCATACTTAACACGATCCATCTTGGGGGTTATGTTTACACAAACTCAAATAGTAAATAAATGTACTCAATGCGTTTCATTGAATTGAAAAATAAATAACAGCAATTAAATTATACAGCTGATTAAAATGTAAACAATTATGTTCTCCATAAGGATAACATGGGAACTTTCAAAGCCACTGGGGCAGAGCCCAAGGGACGTTTTCAAAAATGTAAGGCCAGTTTGCAAATCTACGCGACACGCTCTTTCCAATGAGACGTCAATGGATAAAATCGGTTAAGAAATGGTGGAGGAGAACCGACAAAGTTTCATGTAGCGTATTAATTATATAGATTATTTTTAAAACATAAAAATTATTACTTATGATAACAATATTTGGGCGGTTTGAGGGAAAGTTCCCTTACAGTTTTTTTTTTTTTTTTTTTTTTTTATGTATGTTACTTAATCAGCTGTTGAGCTATTATTTGAAAAGGGTTAAGTGGAGGAGATAGATCTCTTCCTCTAAGAACGGCTAAATATTGTGAAAAAAACCAAATAAATATAAATGTTGTACGAATTTTTTTATTTGTGAATTAATTTGCTTAAAGAATAGTTGTAGTGTGATGATAAATTTTCTAAAACCTCTTTGTAAACTTTGTATTTGTTATACTAGGGAATGTGTCTTGAAGCGTTGTAGACCCTAGTGATGAATATATTTTATAAGTATTGTTTTTAAAATAGCTATTCAACTAAAAACATGTATTTTAAAATGAACGTGAATTTAAAATACCCTTAATTTCAAACAAGCTGCTATACCCGTGCTTTGCAACGGGAAGAAAATGTGACCTAGAGAGCTATTAAAGTAATTCTGATGTGTGCTTTAATACGGCAAGTCTATGATTTAGTTTGAAAATATAAACTGAGTTAAAAGTGTAAACCTACTTACTTTCAAACTCCTACTTTTTATCTTAATAGATTGAAAAGTATATGACAACATACCTTAGTGTAGCAACAGCATCAATTTCTTAATATTAATGCTTCACGAATGACATGTTTTACCATAATTCTTCAACTTTAGTCAAGCCTCTTTACATGTAGCTTACTATATAAATTACAAAATGAAACTTTGAGCAACACTTTACAAAACGTATACAACCTTTCTTTAAGACCAAACATAACCCTCCTAAATCTACATGAAGCATTACACTTTTTCGAGTAAATAAACAAACATCAGTCATTGTACTGACCAGCTGTTCCATTAACTAAATTAAATTCAACTTTGGAAGCAGCCAGCCGTAGCCCTTTGGAAATCAGCCTGTGGGGCAGAGCCCTTAGGAAATTCATCCACATCAATACTTTTCGGCAAATCTACACACTGTAAGCTTCATTTTGATGTGACATATGCCTATATTTTTATTTGGTAAATGGCCTTAACCGTTTACATAAAATTTGATTGTATCACTTTAATAATATAATAGATAATAATTGTAACCTTAATAAAATAAATCACCCTAAAGTTTATACATATTTTAGTTTTTTTCATAATCAAAGTCTTATATGATTTCCATTCCATA